TTTACATGTCAAACAATGTTAAATAATCTAAAATAAAACTTTTCCATAAAAAAGAACTGAGAGTCATAAACGGGTCCTCCCTCTTTGCGATTTTATGATTCCCTTCTCATGGGTAGATTCATTAAATAATGTGCAAATAATTTCTTTGGAAAGGATGCTTTACAACTATCAAAGGCTTCGCTAAAAGCATTCAATTTTTCATTCAGAATGAACACGCTCATGAGGTCTGCTCGTATTTTCTCGTATAACGTCTTGCATGGAATTGAGGATTTTCAGCAGGGTCAGGTCGTCGATTTTGTGAAATGGAAATCTTGAACACTAATTCGTACATTTCCTTTGTTTGTATGTAAAGTTTTCAGGAGAGGAGAAGTGTAGAATACTTTATGGCTTTTATTACAAACTCATCATCCACGAGCTTCCACACGAGAAAGAAAGGAAATAATTCTGAAACATATCGCAGACTTATTATAACCCCGATGCCGAATTAGATTGGAGAGCAGTCGCTTCTTCTGAAGACAGGAACTTGGACAACTTCTTTTTCTCCGACAGATGTGCACTCTCATCAAAATTGTAATTAAAAAAATGAGGTTTTGAAATATTACGAAAGCTCACATTCAGTTATATTAGTATAATATTATGATGTTATATAAATTGGCATCAACATAATCCTATATATGGCATCTATATAATTCGTTCTTTTCATGCTAAAAATAACTCCAAAAATGTGACGTACATAAATTATATAATATAAGTAAACTCACGAGGATTAATAAACGACCTCAAAATGCACTTTAAGCAATAGTTAAGCACTTTAAGCAATACTAGTTTTATTCCTTTTTGTGCCTGAAAGTTTGATTCTAGCAGCCCTCTTAGATCACTACCCCATCGCTGCAAAACACTGTGGATAAAAGGAAAAAAACGCAAGCGACGGCGAGGCAGAGCAAGCAAGCAAGAAAGCAATTAAGACCTAGGCATGACGAGGGAAGGTGCGCAAAGATGATGCATGTCAATTGAAACCAAACACGGGCAAGGCAAAGCATGGTAACCAAAAACGGGGCAAATCAAAGGAAGGCAAGGCAGGACGAAGGCAAGGTAAAGAAAGGCAAGCTAGGGCAAACGAAGGCAGATAACAGCAATTGAATGAGAGGAAAGGCAAAATGTGGCACGAGAGGACCGGGCTAGGCGAAGGAGGCAGCAATGGCAAAACAAATCAAGGCAAAGAAACAAAGCGAGCCAAGCGAGAGCGAGGCAGGATAAAGCACGGTACGCGGGACTGCGGCAAGAAAAAGCACGGCTAGCGTCGAAGAAGCATACGTAGGTAGGACAAAGCAACATACGTAGGTTCAAGGCAAGACAAAAGGACGCAAGCGAGGACGAGGCAAGGCAAAGGAAGGTTAGCGAGGAACACGCATACGTAGGAAGGGCAGCGAAGGAGGAGGCTGGACAAAGTCACGTGAGTTCAAGGCGACGCAAAGGGAGGCAAGCGAGGAGAGGACAAGATCGAGCCCGGTAAGCGGGTGCGAGGCAAGGCAAAGCAAAGTTAGCGAGGAAGAAACATACTCGTACGTAGAGATTGGAGGGCAGGAGGAGGCTGGGCAAAGCCTTGCAAGTGGGTTCAAGGCGACGCAAACGAAGGCAAGCGGGGGCAACCAGTGAAGCCGGGGCGTGGGAGGGGGTGCGGGGGGAGGCAAGGTAGAGAGGCGCATGCGCGGCCGGTGCCTCTCGGGAAGCCGCGAGAGGAATTCCTGCCGGCCGCGACGCACACAGGAGGAGGATTAGAGCGCGCGGGAGGAGCGCCGGAGGTGGCGCCGGGGCGCGCGGGCAGGGCCGGCGGAAGATGGGGGCGGGCGGAAGGGCCTACGGAGCGCAGGGCGCGCCGCGTGCCCGCCGCCGCCGCCGGAGTCTCGCGTTACCGAGACCCCGCCCGCCCCGACCGCCGTCGGCTTGGCGCTTTATGGCGCGGTTGTAAAGCCTTCTGCCTGCGTGCCGGCATGCAAGGCCCGGAGCCGCCCGCCGCCGCCGCCGCCGGCCGACTGCGCGTGCCCACCGCCGCCCCCCCGAGATCCGGGCCGCCCCCCCGTTCCCTCCCCCCTCCCCCCCCGCGCTTCCGTCCGGCCGGCAGCCAGCCGCTCACCTGGCGGCCATTTTTGGACGCGTTCGCCGAAAACGCCTATCTCTTGCTGCATCGTTTTCCCCCTTTGTCTGCCACTTAAACCTATGCGCGCTGAGAAGCCAAAATATGTTCCTTGGAGCTGATCTCAGAAATGAGGAAGAAAAAACAAAACAAAAATCACGTTCGTTAACTTTAGTTTCTTTTCAAAGCAACGATAAAACCGTTGGTTTTCTTCAAATTACTAACCATAAAACTTACAATTACATTTGCAATCTTCCCTTAACCAATCAATATATTTTAAGAAACGTTTTTTACATAGAAGTAAATAAAAAGTAATTAATTTTATTAAATAATGAGTCAAATTTTAGTCATGGACCTTATCCTTTTTCATGAAAAGAAAACAGAGTAATATTAATAAACAAAAATTGTATGTTTCTTCTGAATTCATTACTTTTTGACCACATTTTTTGTTTTTGATTTTGGGTGCTGGAATTTCAATTTAACTGTTGTAAGACAATTGAAAACATGTTTAGGTCCTAATGATTTGTAAGAAATAATGAACTGACATTATATTATAAACTAAATAAATACCAATATTCTCTGTCTACATTTCACTACAATTCAATTGCTATATTGACTGTCCATAAATTTACATAAAATCTGCTGAACAATCTTCGATCGTCTTTCAGGTCAGCAATAGAAAAGTGTGTTAATTTTATCAAACAAGATAACGAACAAACAATTATTTATTTCAGTATTTTATTTCAACTTCGGAGTATTCTTACGTGCGTCGTACGTACGGAGAGAAAATAATAAACTAAAGAACATTTCGTAGAAGTATGATAAGTATTAAGAAACGTCTTTTGCATTACAGTTTCTTAGGAAATAGAGGAAAAGGTTGTGAATCCCATACTTAAGATTGAACCAAGAGTATACATTTGAACAAATATTTGTTACTATTTGCAAAGGTTACACAAGCACTTAAGTAATTGAAGCATCTGTCAGTTGGAGTTTTGATTCGAAATTGACAAATCAGTATTGAAAGAGATAATCTCTGCTTTTGGAGCCTGTATGAATATCTCTCGATTGTTCGTGTCCATTTATTTCAGAATTGAAATAATTCGTAAAAATGCACAATGTACTGTGAATAAAAATTAATGCTTCATTCTTTACATTTTTAGCATAATAAAAAAAGGTTATATGATTTTCTTATGCGCCAATGTGAAGACTTCTTTCGGTCTAACTTCTTTTTAGGAAGACTTTTATGTAATTCTATGACGTAACCGTGCGAAAGTTAGCGTTCTTTTTAAATTTTTGTTTTAAACGTATTTTTTTTATTACGATTTAATCATTAAAAATCTTAAAATAGTTCATAAAATAGTTTATAGTACAGAAAATCAATAAACAGTTGCACGCTTGAACGTATTAATAGGCAATATTCGTGAATATTGTGAAATGTTTAAATTATAAAAATGTGCTTAACAAGTTTACACTTTCTACAACGTCTTACGTTGAAAGTTATTTGAATGTTCCTACGAAAACATGAAAAACGCCCACTTCAAAGTTCTAATGGAAAATGTTAAGCGATTTTGAAGGCAAGTTCTGGTTATCTTTCATTTTTCTGTCATAGTATTTTGCAATGTATATTTAAATTTTGCACATTCCTTAAAACAGAGTAGTAAAGATATCGATTTTTGCGCACTTACTCTTTATCTCCGTTATGTCACGTCTGCTAAAACTTCACTGCAAGTCATCACTTCGAATTTAGTTTTCCTCTTTATCTCTGCGCAGTATTATCTTTTATCAGCCAAAAGTTCCCCGCCCACAAGCGGGCTGCAAGCACGTGCATTTCTCTACCGCACGCCATTGGACTTCAAGCGGCATGACGTACTCAGTCCTTCAGGCGCGCCTCAAACACGCACGTACGCGCGCACTCACACACACACACACACACGCGCACACAATTTTTGTTTTTGATATGCTCTCGGGGAGATTCATATGGGTGCCCAGAACGTCCTTCTCTTTCCTGCCCCTTGGATTTATGTTTTAACACGAATCATGAAATGCAAAGATTAATAGGTAGTAGACAATTTTTATTTTAAGTTTTTTTATTGTATTACATTACAAAAGTGGCTCAATTAGAATGTTTCTTAGTATAAGATATGTGTGTGGGTGGACTAAAGGTACAACCAATTTGATGTTTTATTACAAAACAGTTTTCAATAAATGGTGAATTTGAAATGTATTTCGATTTGTAGATGTTTGGTGAATTATTTCTAACGGATGTTTACTTATCTATATTTTTTATGACAATTAATTTAATCGATATAGTCAATTACACTCTTACAATAGAAAATTACTAGTATAATTCTAAATATCAGCTTCAGGAATAAGCTTTAGTACTTGGTAATATTATTATTAAATATTTGTATATTACAAAAGATAATTTTCAATTATCAAATGTTAAGCTTTTCCACAAAACGGTTCTGGCAGCAGTGCTTTTCCCCTCCCTGTTGATAGTTTCTGGATCTGGATCCGTAAAATACAGAGCTTGTTCTTTTAAATATATACTTAAAACTTTCGTCCTCCACTTTTTTTTAGTTTTAAAATATTTAAATCTCTAATTGAATGATATATGATAAAGGTTTTCATTGTATTTTTGACATTCTTTCTCCAAACACTGAATGCTGAGAGTAATGTGACAATGCTTCATAGAAACAGACATTCTCTTAAGGATCCATTAAGAATTAATTACTGTTACAAGGATCCAAACAAGTTATCACTTGGTTCAATGAATACAATCAAGCGTGTTTAACAATAAAAAATTATTGGAAATTAACTGACTTTCGTTATACTCGTTATTCAGCAAGTGATGACCTACCTTTCAATCCGGAATCAGAAGAAGATATTGACGATTAATTTGCTTCGTGATTTGAAATGTGATTTGAAAAGGTGATTTGAAATGTTGAAATGACCATGTCTCAATTATATTTGAAATTTCTTGAACAAAATTGCAATGTTTTGAAAATTCTATATCAATATGATCATGGATATTTAACTGAATGGCTTTGTTTTGGCTGATATTCACTTTCCTGTAGACGCGTAGCTTGCACATGGACTTATTTTCTTAGTTTACAATTCGATGACTATGAACACAAATTGTAATTTTCTACTCCCAATAAAGCACATAGCTCTTGGCTCATGAGTTGAATCATTACACTCTATAGCCTACTTTACGTATCTACGGTAAGTTTTATGCTGTTAAGAAATACCGGAACTGGTAGGATTTTGACAATCTTCCGAAAACTTGTAGCTATGTCCAACATGCCGCACAACACGTTAATTATGTAAATACTTGTACAATACTAAATTACGTATTGTACAAGATTTTATTCTCCTACTCATGCACAACAACACATTATTTAAAAATGGTAATTTACATTACAAAAGAAAGGACGGGCAGATGGCCGATATCGTTAGGGCAATAGTGCCGTAGCGGTCTCGGACCAGGAGACTGCGGGCTCTACTCCCGCCTCAGGCATGGGTGTATTTATGTATGTGCACATGCGTGTGCCATCCTGTCATCCCGCACTATCAATATCATGTCATTGTCCATACCCCTAGGTCTAACAACCTTGGGGGATAAAAATTGTGATTCAGCTAAAATGCTGCCCCCCTCCCCCCCTCAAAGGTACTTGCACCTGCCGAAGCGAAATGCGCGCGTCGTCCGAGTTGCCTATACGCGAAAGTACAAAAATTACAAGGCAAGAAAGTGGATGTTTCCATGACTAGGTAGAAGAGTTCTTGATTGAGGTCGAGACTAGAAATCCCGTCGTGTCATGTAAAGTCACTTTTGCCGAATGGTGTACAATATTTTTTATCGAGACTTCAATTTTATGACAGCTTATCCATTTGAACTTCAAATTTAATTGTCGATCATGACAACATCTATATACTTTTCGAGAGGAGACTGGTTCGTATTTTATTTTCTAATTGTTGTACTTTAAGTACTAACGCGAAATGTACTTTCGGTAACTTTTACGGGTAAAAGAAACAAAACATTTCGTGTCCGAATTGTCCATGGTTGATAATCTCAATAAAAGAAAACATGGTACAGCTTTGTAAGACACAGCTTTTTTGCCAAGATCGAGCACAAAAAGTATTGACTCTCCTTCTATGGAGAAACGATGAGAGCAACGTTGATTTGGAGGAAAGCGAAGGAGTCATATGGGCACGTAAACCCGCAATCAAATCAATACTCCACTGCTTCTTACTATCCCTAGGGAAGGACTAGAAAGGACGGAGAATAGCGGCGATGGTGACGGCAAGAGGCAGGGGCGACGGCAGGGGCGAGGGCAGAGGCGAGGGCAGGGGCGAGGGCAGGGGCGAGGGCAGGGGCGAGGGCAGGGGCGAGGGCAGGTCGACAGGAAGGGCGGTGTCGACAGCGAAACTGGGGTAGATGTGGGAAGGACGGCGGGGAACAGGTGAGGTCGAAAGCAACGGAAGGTTGAGGTGAGGGCGGTGTTGAGGGCGAGAAGAAACAAAGAAACCTAAATGGGGCCTCTATGCTGGAGCCCAGTTGGTGAGGCTAGCACCCTCCGCGCCTCGCTACGCGTCCGCCTGAGCAGCCGCCTGGCCGGGCGTGCGGCCATTTTGTGGCCACCGACTCGCTCCCGCTGCTACCGCTGTTACTCCTACTCCCACTATTCTGCACCTCTTACTACTGTTGCTCGGCTATTTGTGTCTCTATAAATAATCTCATAATCATTTTCTAGCACCGCCATAAACACATGACAACAAATCATAAACGTGCTGCCGGCCGAGCCATAAGGCGGGGCGGCATGGGGCTATGAGGACCGGGGTTTATGGGGCCTAACAAAACGGAGCGCGTATCCAATATCCGGCGGCGGTGGCGGCGGCGGAGGTGGTTGAGCCGTAGACGGCGCCGCTTCGCTGTCCGCAGAGTGGCGACAGGGGCGTGGCAGCTACCTCGTTACGCGAGGATGCGGTCAACGCATCAGCGCTCAGAACGACCATGGCGCAGTTGCTCCCTGGAAGCACTCCGTGCCCGCGCCCCTCTAGTGTAAACGTTCGGGTGTCGGAATGAGTGCATAAAAAATCAAAACACGATTACGATAGGTATAAATGCTTAATTTACCCGATACATTTTTAAACATCGATCAAAACGTCATCTAGGTCGATTAATTAGAAATCAACGTATCTTGTATTTCAATTTAATCAATCTGGTGTAGCATCGGACAGTGCTCGAAGATCTGGACTTTTTCAAAAGTGAATAGTGTGAGCAGTGATAGAGAAAACGCGATCAAAACAAAACAGAAATAATAACACGCGAATAAAACAAAATCCAGCCTGACTTCACAAATGTTCGATTTTAATTTCTGGTACGTTAGGAGAGGGAGTTATCCAATCGGATTCTTCAATTTCAAAAATCAAACCTCCCAATCACATTGCCCCCTATCAAAAAATAATTAAATAAAAAAATAAATAGCAGCTTCAGCAGGGTAGTGGTGGGGGTATTATCAAAATGTTCCCAACTACAAAGGCCGCAATTTTTAGGCCTTCTGCAAGGATGAACAGAGAATATTATAAAAAGAGAAAGTTCCATTTTTTTAAATTTATAGGATAAAATATTTACGTATCATTTACTATAATGCCTTATCTAAAGAAATAAAAGAATCCATAAGTTGTGTTTATAGTAATAATAGTCTTGTTAGTCTTAGACATATTTATTCTTGTTTTTTAAATTCAAGCATTGAGTCATGTTGAAAGTCCTCTACAAGTGTCTGCTGTTTATCTGCGGATGTACGCAATATTATTGCTTTCAATTTTGCAAGAAAGGATAACTGCGTGATATTTAGAAATGTTTATGTTGATTGAATGAATTGTTTAAGACCTGATTGGTCGATTCCTAGGAAAGAACAAAGTGTTACATTTGTACATACTGCAATTATAATTATGTGGTTATCCGCGAGGGCACATCAAAACACGATTCATGCTTTGTACATACATTTCATTTTGAACTCATAGGCCATGTTTTATCGAACGGAGTTGGAACCATCCGCTCTGCGCGACAGAACGGCAAGGTCACGGCCCTACACCTCTGACATACGAGCCCATTTCTGCGAATCCCCGGCTGTTCCTCTCACCTAATCAACTACTGTCGCCAGATCGTCTGTTCCAGAAGCTTTGGAATTCGTTCATTCAAAGCACTTCCCGCTTTTCTTTATTTCCTAACGCATTGCACTCAGCGACAACCACATTCAAAGTGGTCTCCGTGGTAAGCAGACATGTCTACGTATCACGTCAAGAGTTATAGTCTTCCTGCAAATTGAAGTCCTATTTTCGAAAGTTCTGGCATTTAGCACTAATGTACGTGACATTTTAATGTGTATTTGAGTAGTGCGGTAATCGCCACGTACACTAATTGTAATCAATCTTGTAATTTGCATAAGTTGCAAACCTACTCACCGAAGCATGAACTGCAAACTGCAACTCTCCGTAGCGCGCTGACTACTGTATTCATGAACGGCATCGTGTCTTGTGCGTGTGCACAACTTCGTACCTGCTTAAGAGCACGTAATGATGAGCTACAACCAGTGATCGTCGCTTCTTGTGCACGGAAAATATCAGCCAGCTAGTCTTCAGAAATATCAACTCTTCAAGGTCGTAACTTATGTAAAGTGTATGAGTTCCTCTTTTACAGGTGTTGGGGCATTTGAAGTGAATACATTTTGTTCTAATCATATTGTGCGAGTGAATAATGTACGAAGAATTCCGCGAACCACATCCCATTCAAATTACGCTAGTGAGCTACTTTAAGGTTCTGGCTAATGCATATAATACCATCTCATTATACAGTCCACTTTCAATTCATTTAAACGTTCGGCCAAGCAATGATTACGAACGAGTGATAAGTCAAGAAAATAAGGAAGACGCAAAGTGCACAGAGGAAAGTAAAAACCCCCTGACAACTTTCCCCAAACATCGTGTGACCGCTCCTCCAAAAAGCGAACAGAAAGTCCCCGGCGTGAACCACTTCAAGGAAGAGTTCGAAAGCTCTCTACTACGAGTGGTTTTCGCGGTTTCGTGGTCAAGAACAGCAGCACTCCAATTGTCCGAAGAGATTTTGAGATAAAAAAGTTTAGAAGAACGATTTCAAAACTGTTCGATCTATTCTAATTTCTTAACTATTATATAACTATAATAGCCAAATGTTTGTACCCGTATTATTCCTATCGTGTTGAACTATTATTAGAAAGAAGAGGTTCGTAATAATATATTACCTTTGCAGTATTTAAACGTCTTTTGAATCTTATGTTGGTTGAAATTTATTTAATTAATCAGATATTTTGTAGTCTTGTTTACTAAATTTGGGAGTTTTATGTAATCATGAGAATTTCTATACAAAACCAATTTCATCAATAGACTTTTATCATGTTTTATTCAAATTTATCATATCGTCCTGTCCCAAAAATATTTAATGTAGGTACTTCAGAAAATTCTTTGCCAAGAATCAAGTCTCGGCATTCAACAGAATATTATATCCTCAGAAATTAAAATTTAAAAACAATTGTGAAAATAAACAAAAATTGTTGAACTAATTGCAATTAGAGGACTATTCCTGGATAATCGTCAGAAAATATTTGTTTTTAATTATAACTAAAAATCATTGCAAGAAAGTTACGTATTGGCAATTTATCAGCCATAATTTTTCAGAACGTTCAAAGGTCTATAAGGCCGAACACAGATTAAATAGCAATTTTAACATCTGGGTATTTCCGCAAATTTTTTGCTGTTAATATTTACCAGCCAAAATTTCTCACCAACATCATAGTGGAATGTATCTTGGGATATAGTAGAGTGAGGCTTAACCAGACTAAACAATACCTGACTAAACAGTGTCCTTGTCCGAAAAAACTGGCCCATACACCAGCGAGTGCGGCTCGCGTGTTTGGCTCGGAGATCCCGGCAACAGGAGGTGGGGAAGGATATGTCAATCTTTACAATGCTGTTAATTAGCATCATTGTTTTCTCCCGGGCGATTTAGGACGTTCAAGCCAGGCTCACGAGCCGGACCGGCTAGTGTATGGGCACCTTAAACTGACCCATAAGCCAACGCGGGCGATTCGCGAACTGCCTTCGAGGGGGTACTTAATCTGACGCCGTGTCTCCGATACCTGCGTCAGTTTCCCCACTTGCCACCCACGCTATTCCGAACAGCCAAGAATTCACTTCCTGACTGAAGGAGACTTCTAGTGGCCGGCTGCTCTGATCGGTAGTTTTCCGTTGTTTCTCCAACCACACGAATGCCGGAGCAGTACCCTAACAAACGGACCACAGAGCGCGCGCGATCTTTTCTTCCTCTTCCTTGTCCTATCCTCACCCATTACACACACTTACACTAACATGCACCACACTACCACACATGTCGGGAGCTTCGAGCTTGTCCCGGCTGGGGTGGTGGGAGATACCTGGTTGAGGGAAAACCCCACTAGCCGACGGTAGGTCGGCGCCGGATCTCGCCGTCCAGCGGGAGAAGACCACCGCCACCTCCCGAGCCAAAAAAACATGCCCTACACTTACGGAACTAATTCCCCTAGTAGTTGAAGCGGCCGGAATGAATGAATTGATCTGAAGAACCCAGCCAGACTCGCCGGTCGGCCTCGCTCTCGCTTCGTTCTCGCCTCGCTCTCGCGCGCTCGCCGTCTGTCTCACCTGCCGCTCCGAGAGGCCCAGGGACGCCGCCAGCTCCGCCTTGCGCCGGATGGTGATGTAGCGGCTGTAGTGGAACTCCTTCTCCAGCTCGAGGCGCTGGTGGTCGCTGTACACCACGCGGTACTTGTCCTTGGTGCGCGTCTTGCCTGCAACAGCCAGCAGCGCCGCGCCGCCCGTTAGCTGCGCGCCAGGGAACGCCGGCGGAGGCGGCCCCGGCGGCGGCGCGTAACCTGCGGAGGAGACTCAGTCACGCGCCGCCCCTTTGCCTCCCGCCTCCACCCCCCACCCCCCCTCACTCAAGAAAACGTACACTTTCCACAACGAGTGCACGGAGAGACGTCGCCACGTTCTACACAACCATGCTAGTTATTGAATCATGCAGCAAAACGGTAGGTCAGCATAAAACACAATCTTTGTATTCAGTGTAACCTGTTATTACATTGAAAACCTTAAGATATAACACGTCGAGTACGTCAACTGGTTTATATTTATATTTGTTAATAAGTAGAACAGAAGACTTTGTAACCACCCGAAGTCAGCATTGTTGAGCCCTTGTTGTACAGGCTGTCGAATCAAAATAAATTTGACGAAAATATTATTTTTTTGTAATACAAAATCAAAAAATATAACGTTTGTGGTATGTTTCCACACGTTATAATTTCTACTCTTCCTCCGAATGACAACTACCGAGTAGTATGCGTAGTGATATAAACATACGGTATCTATTTACAAAGTCTGCTACCAGCTTTATAAAAAATATCACTTTAGAAAAAAGTACGAAGATGGATTGGGCATGCACGAGAAAAGTGCGCAGAGCACAAGTGTTCTCGATTTGTCTCTTCACTTCTTCGTTCGCTGAGCATTTCGTTCGTCCTCCCCGCCATTAACTTGTTTACGAAGCGTCCTTGAGATGGTCCATGGCCATCAACTGTTGCACGGCAAACTGTTCCGACCGGCAAGTTCTGTGGTACAACAGTCACAACGGTGGCGGATTTTCAAGAAACCTCAAACTTATAATAGCGCACCATCTACAACTCGTTGAATTGCAGCTTGACGAGTTGACGCGTGGAGCTGAAGCCACGGTACCAGACAATATCCCGTAAGTACGCACCTCCTTGATTTAGAGCAGCACCAGATTGCATCCTTGCGTGAAAGCTTGTCAGTCGTTAATCTTTCACGTTCGCCCCATTGCCTCTTAATTGTCTGGCCGGCGGCCGGCGTGGCGAGCGACCGCCTCTCGGCCTAGCCTTGCCGGTGACCAGATGGGAGACTCGCAAGGACACGGCCCTGCGTCACCTAATTCCGCGGCTGCGCGCCGCATCGCACTCGCCTTCCCCTCACACGAACGCCTTCCCTCCGTCCTCGGGCCACCTGCGCCAGCCTCGTGCCCGGTACCAGTCGACGAAAACGGCTTAGAGAGGCTGCAGCGCAGCAATTGATAGTCACTCTGGCCCAGCGGCGCCTCTGCAACCGCCGTCGGGACAAGCCTGAGGAGTTCGCCAGTCCCGGCCAAGGTGACAGGCATTGGCGACTACAAGGAAAAAATAACCTCACTTATTCCTAACCACTAGTGATAGCGCGATTTCAGTTCCGTCTGAACAGAATGGATTCATGGACTGCTGGCGCGTCTGATCTTTACTTCCCATTTCACTGCGACCCCTTATCCCCACCCCATTTATACACACCACCTAACACTGTACTCACACCTACCCACTCATGCCGACAGAATCAAACCGGTTGAGCTTAGCAGTTTCCGTCCCCGGCGAGGGAACGGTGCCCGCTGGGTGGCGAGATTCCTGGTTGCGGGAAAACGCCGCTAGCTGACCAGTGTATAGACCCTGTTCTCGCCATCCAGCGCTGGAGAGGATCTACCGCACCTCCCCGTGTATCAACAAATATGTCCACTACCCATCTTCCAAGGAGCTAATGACCTTAGCGAATTGTCCGAGCCCCGACAAAACATCAATCATCGTGACTTGGAAACACAAAGCAGACATTGTCAGCGGACGTAGGCAGTTTTCACAGTAAAGAATGCTTAGAACCAGTGAGATTCTGAAAATTTGATGCGAAAAACCTCACGGATCGTGAACAACTTCCCAATGGAACAGACTTTGAAAAACTGAAACCATATTTAACCACCAAAGGTTTCTTTTAGTAGATATTCTTCAAACCTAGCCTGTTCAGGTTACTTTGCAGGTCTGTAAAATTACTTGATTACGGCGAGGTAATTTTGTTTACATTGGGGTGTTAAATTGGGAGTTATCTTCTCTTTTCCCCTGAATTCCTTTTCAAACACAGCGACCCCCGGCCGGAGTTTTTTTTCTCACCTAAAATTAACTTTGATCACTGTCTCCCTCATCAATTCCTATTCAAGCCGGCTTTTATAATAGTACATTTTTCACCTAGATTTAGGCTTTTCTTCCAAGTTTTCCTGAAAATGAGTGTAAAAACTGTAATAAAAACGTACACACCTGTTTCTGCAAATAAAAATTGAAATTCAAAATTATGACCTCCAAGTACATTCTAAGCCAGACAATACTTACTGAAAAGCCGGTATTTCAACTGCATATAGCTTGCCCGGCGCGCATTGTGTCATGCTGAAAGAGGTACAATTTGGAGATCCCCTGTTGATCGGTGTGGGCATCCGTCAGATTTAGAAAATGCACAGAAAATATGCCTCATAAGCTTTTTTTGCAAGTCCGCATATTCTCTTCCTTTTCGCTAATCATGCCAGAAAACACACATGTCATATTCCCTTCGACAATGACAACCCTCCACGATGCGTGATGTGTCCGAACAACTAACAAAGGTCAGGAATATGCCATACTTTTTTCATATTCGTTTCCGCTTCCCCTTCACTGTCTTTCTCTCCCATACTTATTATGTAAGCTGACTTCGTCAAAACTTACCTGCAAGAAGCCTACCAAAAAATCACTCACACGACTTAATAAAAAACTGTTAAGCTAAGCGTGAGTTCAGGTAGAGTAAAACCATTTGCTTAACAACGCAATCCACGTAAGGGCTAATTAATAGGGGTCGTGATCAAGAGCGTACGACATTTAGAAAGCGGGGGACATTTTTTTATGTCCTAAATTTATGGTCGAATGTGTCATATATATAGAATGAGCGCAGCGTATAGAACTCTGCCCTCACATTCGCAATACAGTTTTATCTGTTCTTTATTGTTTATCACGTGGAAAAATTGTATTGCTTTGAAAGTTTCGTGACGTAAGGTTAAAATTAATCAGTCTTACCTGAAATAATTCATTGGCGAAGTGGATAATTTCTCTTATTTCCCCCTTTGCAGTCTGGACAATCCCCGCGCACTGCACTAATTCCATAAAGGCAAGCACGAATTTTCATGATCTTTCTTTACTATCAGCTCCACGAAAAGCGCTGAATTTAAAACTCTATCTTGATTCGCGACAGGAGTAAGCCTGCCACATGAAAACAGGAAATGCGGGCACAGCCGTGTCTAGCACGTGGTCCCCTCTTGTCCAGGTTTACGCCTTTCGCAGCCACCCCTTCGTTCATTGGCTTACACCTCTTCCCTTCCCCTCAGTATCTGTTTATCCTCACCGACTCGTTAAAACAGAATGGCATGTTCCGCGCAGGCTTCGGCACTTGCGCGGGCGAAAATCGTCAATAAATTGGCAGATGCCAATTAGAAGGAACGTGTATTCTTTCTAGACGCGGCGCCTCTGCTAATCACGGTATGAGCACTCAATTAAACTCAATGTAGTCTCTCAATACCCCATTACGAGGTGGCCTAGCAGGCGAATTAGTCGCATAAGAAACAAGACTGAATCGAGCCCGCATCACTTGGGAAGAGATAGACTTCAATATAGGGGCTAAATTTCCAAGAAAATACTCAGGCACCCACGCAACGACTGAACAGCTACGGTCGACGAACCCCATCCAACTGTTTGCAATTAAGCTTTGGAATCTTTCTTTGCAAACCGAAACTTTTGGACAAAAAAATACAAAACGAGGCGAAAAAACCCAGAGCTAAACAGCCTTAATCATTGGGCCCTCTGCGAAGGCAAGGAGGCCGCTTCAATTCTTGTTAATTACTCTATATTTGGTCTTTACCCGTTCGAGGTACGACCCCTGAATGTTTAAACTCAATCAAGTTGCCTCCGCAGCATCACTTCGCAGGCCGATAAATACATTTTCTGTGATGGTGTTTGGAACGCACAAAAGAGAACCATAACTCGACCCGCATTCGCATCCACTTCGGACCGAAGAACATGAATAAGATTTGCGAACGTCGCTCGGCAAAAGACCTGCAGACGGCGATCTGCGCTAGGCCTGGCGTGCATGCCCGCGCCAAATCCGCTGAATGCGCGGTTGGCACGCCTCTATTGGCCGGCGACGTGATGTCATGGTTTCCGCGCGTGGAACTGCAACTGCCACTTAAAACTCGTTACAAATGCACAAAGCGCAGACGGAATCGCCGGAGCGCCAGCGAGGCCTCCAGTGCGAGATAGTGGTGCTTGTGTCTCGTTCATCCACGAGGCGGCATGGCCGGAGGCCCGGGCGCAACGGCAGAGGACAGGGAGGAGGCAGAGCGCTCTATCTCGACGATGCGTGGCTGCCGGCCACGAAGACGGGACGGAACATGAGGCGGGCGGGCCATCTGTGTGTGTGTGGTGTGTGCGGTGCAGAAGGATGGCAGCGAGAGGGCTGGTTGAGACGTCAGAGCGGGCACCGAGCTGGGACGGGGGGACGGGAAGCAGGACGGGCGGCTGGGAGCGGTCGGACGGGCGGGGCGGGCGCCGGTGATCGCACCAGCGGCGCTAAGCTCCCCGGCCTCTCCCAGCAAAGAGTTCCGATTCACGAACAAGCTTTCATGCTGAACAAGGCAGGATTCGTTGTCGACTTGCTTCTTAACTGCAGGCGCGGCGGCGCCCAAAGCACTTCAATATCCTTAAAAGAAAAAAACATGAATTTGGCGAATTGCCCAGTGCTAACTCATCAATCAACGTCACGGAGGGAAGCGTTGGCTTGGACAGTTCGAATCATTACTTAACTCGTCTCTCGCGGCGTAACAAACCCGTGGAAGAACATGAAGAAATCTGGTTCATTTCCGCCGAGCAACCGCGCCCACACTCTGCGAACGAATACATCGCTGCTCTCCACACGTATTTCTATATGCAAACTTCTTTACAGTCGAGTATGTCATGCTCCCAACGGCATCTACCAAAATATTCTTGAGTCTCGGCCAGTT